GGCAGGCCTAGGTCTGCGGACCCACCGGCCCAGAGCTTTCAGCCCTGAACTCTGCTGTGGTCTTGAGAGAGTGGGTCCAGTGTGCTGGGCTGTGTATATGTGTGTCTGGGGGCACCAGACCACAAGCCCTCCCGGCACACCTCCACCTTCCCTGCCCTGCCCAGTTCTCTTTGCCCAGAGTGAGCTATGGGTTCCAGGAGAGGAGAAGAAAGGAAAGAAGAAATCTATGCTTACCCACACTCACAGGGATGTGAGGTACTTAGGTAAACACACACATGCGCGCACACACACATGCACACACGCACACACGCACACACACACACACGCCTCCCAGAAACCCATCATGCTTATCTGAAGCACCACACACACACACACACACACACACCACACACACGCCTCCCAGAAGCCCATCATGCTTATCTGAAGCACTCCCATCGCCCTGCCACCCACCACACAGGACCCTCCATGGGCTATTAACATCCCACCTCCATGCTGTCACCGGGATGGGGGGTCGGAGAGGATCAAGCCCCTCCACCTTCTCCTGGCACTCCACAGGGGAGGCTCCCCATCCCCTGCCATCCGCAACCTGGAATCTCCCTCCCACTTGGGGAGTGGGTGGAGGAGGTGGGCTTCCCAGAGGCCAGGCAGTGTGGGTTCCAGAGAAGATGGAGGGGTGGGGTAAAGGGGGGGGGAACAGAAGACAGAAGGGGCTCAGAGTGGAGAGGGAGTGGTGATGGGGGAGCCCACAGGGGTCCAGCTCAGGGCCGATGGGGGCTGCTGGTCCAGCTCTAGGAAAGGGGAAGACAGAGGTAGGGAGGAAACTTCACTTTCAAAGAGGGGGTGGCCGGGCGAAAGGGTCTTTGATTAGGGATGGGAACACAAGGGCTCAGGGTCTAGCGAGGAAGAGAAAGGTGGTCTGAGAAAAGTAGCAACTAGGGCGGGCACCCGGTGTGGGGAAGAGAGAGGGGCTGCAGGCGCTCAGGGACTCCCGCCCTGGGAAGGGACGAGGGTAAAGGGCGAGGAGCAGAGCTGGGGAACGATGAGGGTTTGGCCAGAACAAAAGTGGGGGGCGGCGGCCGGGCCAAGGGGGCTCCACGGTCCTGGCTCCCAGAAAGTGGGGATCCCGAGAAACTGAGGGAGGGGACAGGAGAGGGTGTCGTCTTGGTTCGAGGATGAAGCTGGGACGGAGACCCGCCGGGACGTGGAGGGGCTGGGGTCTCGCGCTCTAGGACTCAGAGGGGCCGAGTGCGGGTCCGGCTCCGACCTGCCGAGGGCGATGGGCCCGGGGGTTCCCTGCTCTGGGAGGAAGGGATCTCGCGGGTCCCGACCGGGACGGGGTAGGGCGATGTCAGGGTCTCCTCGTGGGAGTAGGGGGCTCGGGGTCCCGGCCGGCGCGTACTCACGTCCAGGATGACAGCGGTGCCCCCGCGCGGCGAGG